CAGCAAGTCCGTCTTCTCCCTGGTGTTTGACCTCCACTCGCCACCTGGAAGTGTGTTCAGTAACCAACCATGTGCTCTCGGGCCCGGAGGAGCCCAACAAGAGGCGTCTTATTACTGGCAGCAGCTGCCGGGAAGACAGTGTCACTCCTTACCGGTATCGCCCCAGCTTCCTCGCTCTGAGATCTTCCACCTCGCCGCTGCTGTTAGCACCAACAACGGTTCTGTTCACTGTAACTCCAGTCAGCTGTCCACAACTCTTCTAGGTGAGCTCAGCGAATGTTTGTGGAAAGATAAAAGATGAGCTTCAAGTAGGAAACAATCAACTAAAATTAGATTTTAGTTTAGTTTAGTGGCTAATGGTCCCTCTTTGAAGTGACATGTCAGGGACATTTGTGATTAACCAAGCAGTTTGCATGTAGCATGCAGCAAGCATTGTAAATAAATAACATTTTTAATTGCTGAGTGTGTAAGTAACTCTTTGCTTTGCGGTTTAAATTCTAAGCTAGAGGATTGTGAACTCATAATATGCTTCTTTTCAGCTAAGAGTGCACCATACATGAGGCGAGTAAGGTGATGATAACCAGAAATAAGGAACTCATGTTCAGTGCTGCTTTTGAGCAGGTTTTAAATAAGAGGATAACACGTTATCTTCTGTCAGTGATGACCACAGTAACGACCAAACCATATGTGTCATATTATTACATTACCTGTTCACTTTTAGGTTACTGTAACAGACATGAGTCATCATCTGTGAAGTCAGTTTCATTCCGTCTGTTTCATATAAATGAAACCGTGTGGGCCATCTCATTCTGCAGGAGCAGGAACAGAACAGTCTGTAATTATTAGGGCGAGTTTCCTCGTTCATCAGTTTTTGCTCCTTTAGTGTAGGTTGACAAGTTAATGCGATTATTTAAGTGTACATCTTTTGGGATGCATAAGAAAACTATTTGAGTTCCAGTGCAAAGAACACTGGAACAAGGACCATTACCATATCGCTATGGTAATGGTCCCACATAATTAGTAGCTAAAGTTTGGAAACTTGCATGGTTTAAATGATAAGCATGAGGGTGATGAATAACTGGCAATATTTGTCTGCCGACGCCGTGTGTGACCTTATTAAAGTCGTCCTTTATGATCTCAAAATAATAATGCACTTTGAATGTCGGACAGGAAATTCCAGTGGCAGTCAAATAGAGCAGCCATGTAATTGATAGTAGCTTTCCATGACTTAGTGTCACCGATTTACCCTATTTACACAAGTTTAAGTTTAGCCATAGATCAACATGTGTGTCCTACTCATAGTGTGAGAAATCTGTGTTCATCTGATCAACAACACTGCATCCAAACTACTTCAGATTTGGTTTGATGAATTATCAG